ATAATTTGATTAATTCTTGAGAGATACATTGACTGCTTTGAAAAGTCACTGAGAATCCTTATGTGGAACCTGAGATGTTGCAGGAACAGAAAATGATGTTCAGTTCAAACCGGATTTACTGAATATTTTTGAGGTTTTAAGGATGGGACAGAAACCAGACCTCCTGGTCCCTGCTCTCAGGCTCCCGCTGGAATGGGAGAAACAGGTCACGCAAGGAGATTTTAGTTCACCAGGGTGGAGCCACAGCTGAGGGCTGTGCAGGATGCCCAGGACACTCCAAGTGGGATGGGGTTGGAAAGACTGAGCAAGAACAAGTCTTCTGCACACACCTGAATAAAGTTAAACCAGCTTCATCCAGATGGAGCAGGGCAAGAAAGAAAAGGCAAAATGTGAGCAAACACAGGCAGATGCCAAAGGAATCTAAAAAGAAGAGTCCAGTTTTTTTTTTTTAATTTCCAGGTTGGAATTTTATTCATTAAAATATGTTTTATTGTTAAATACAAGTACTCTGATACCTGAAGTTTGGTGATGTCCATGTAATCATTCCCCACAGTAGCAGACAGACCCTTGCCAGGCTCCCACAATCCCCAGTGCCCCCAGACCCAGCACCCAGTCTCCTGTGGCAGGATCTGTCCCCTTCACTGTCTCGTCACTAGAGCAACCCTCAGACCACTAATGGTTTCTGTCACCTTTTTCCAATCTGTGGGTCCTGACTTAACTTCTCTCTCTCTTTCTCCTTATAGTGTATTTGCTTATGCACTTTATTTTTGGCTTCTGTACTCTTTGTGCTGAAACTGAATCGGTTAGTTGTAAACATATTTATTATGTGAACAGTAAAATGCTGCATTAATTAATGATTGTAAAAGCTATTAACTTTATGAAGACAAACAATAAGAACTTTGAGTAGCTGGGCAGCAAGATAGATCATTCATAAGAATATTAGGAGAGTGCATTTGCTTGATAATTTTAGGAAGACTTTGGGAGGCATCTAACTTGGCCTGACTGCAGCCATCTTGAGATTTGGCTAATCTGATTGTCCCTGAGTAACCCAGGCCTTCTTTCTCCTGCTTAGTTTCCCAGCCTACTATATATAGATACACACAACCATTGATTAGAGTGGCCACTGATGCAAGGCCACTGATGCCAGGGATGTACCTGACGTCTTTGATGTTAGCTGGAGATAAAACCAGGTACATTCTGGCTTGGATGAAGTCGCTTGTGTTGTGACCTGTACATAAGGCCTTCCCTCTGACCCAAGTGGTGATGTCCACTGGTCTTGTTTATACTTTCCACACTCTGTCCATAGGTTCCCACCGGGCTGCACTTGGTGCCATTGTTGGTCTCCTTCTTTGGTCTTTCAGCACCTTTCTCCTTAGGCAATCAGTTATGCTGCATTTTCCCAGAGCAGTACTGTAATTTTCATTGGTCTGTTTTGTGCTACTGGGGTTTGAACCCAGGGCCTTTGCATTGATCTACATTCTCAGTTATACCCTCTTATTTTTTGTTTTAAATAAAATTTGAGGTAGAATCTCACTAAATTGCTAAGTTGGCCAAGCTGGACCCAAACCTGTGATCCTTCTGCCTTACCCTCCCAGAGTGCCAGAATTACAGGCTGGAGCCACCAGTCCTGGTTGATACACTGTTTTATCTTATAAAATTTAAATAGTGATAAAAGGCGGAATTATAGATATTCAATTCTATTACAAATATGATCTTTGTAGAAATTTTATTTCTTAGGCGAGTAGCACATAATAAAGAAGTAGCATTCCATATACGTAATAAAACCCTTCCAAGAACACTGACTCATTGGCTAGTGGTTTAATTCCATTTAGGTGGTTTAATTTCCATTCAAGCAAAATTCATATTTGAGAATTCTCTATACCTTGGGAGGAATATGTTAGAAACAAAGTGTCAATTTTGTCACATTGAAATCTTACAAAAAGAAAAACGTTTGAAATGAAGTATAATATCCTCAACAAACATCCTTGAGTCCGGCAAAATAAAGATGATGAAGATGCCAGACATGGTGGCACATGCCTGTAATCCCAACTCCCTGGGAGGCTGATTCAGGAGGATCAAAATCAAGAGGATGGGCAATTTAGTGACTTAGCAGGACCCTGTCTCAAAATAATAATAATAATAATAATTTTAAAAGGCTGGGAATGTAACACAATGTGAAGGCCCTGGCTTTGATGCTCAGTACTGCCAAAAAAAAAAGAAGAAAAAGATAAGCAAGTCACCACAACATGCTTTTGCTCTTGTTATTCACACCCCAATACAACAGATTTTACAAGCAATTCCTCACAGTTTTGAGTCACTGGAGGTTAGAATTTAAATAAAGCTTACAGAAATGATTGCTGTGGACTCTGTCATCTGTTTTCAGAAGTTGAAGATGAGAGGTTTAGGAAATCCTCCTGAGCCCTTAATCCTACATGCAGAGTTTCTTCTGGAAATGTATTATCAGAAACTTTTATCTGAATACTGTTCTACCACGCACAGGGAGATTATGCCTGTCATCCAGGGGGCTGGTGGGGGAATGTGTTACTAAGCACGGCGGGAATCTAGGAAAGGAAGCCAGGAGCAATCTTGCCCAACAGGGCTGTGAAGTCAGTATTCGTATCTAGAGAAACGTCGGCACTTCAAGTTCGGAAACTAACCTTCATGATAATAAGATTGTGGTAATTTTTCACTTCTGCATGGATAATGTTCCAAACTTATTCTTCCCTCCCAGTGTTGGTTCTTTGGTGGTGACAATTGACTTCGGCTCCCATGGAGCCCTGGGCTGGGCCACAGGAGGAGCAGGCTGGTCCCTAGGCCTGAGGTCACGGCTCCCCCAGGCACACAGAAGCTGAGGAGCTATTTCACAGCTGAGGAGAGCGCAGTCAGGATCAGGCACAGGGAGGGACGCGCCTGAGTTTGCATGACCAGGCAGGAAGCTAAACTGAGGCTGGGGCTCTTTCCTCTCTTAGGGATGAAAACATGGTGCCTTCTGCTACTTTTAGGGTTCTGACTCTTTCCAGCCATCCTTTTCAGAATCTGTCTGGAAATGGGGACTTGCAGTCTGTCAGACACTGGCAGTGAGTTGGAAAGGACGGAGCTCAGGTTCCACATCACCCCTGTGGAGTTTAGTCACCCAACAGGGTGGAAGTTCTGCCCCTCAGGAAGGCTTGGAGCAATTCTGGAGACCAGAAGCCTTGGATGAGAGACTTATTTGATTAAAAACCCTGAAGGAAATGAGGAAACATGACAGCAGCCTGGCCAAGGGACTGGGACCTGTGACACCTGCTATGCTGTCTGGAATCCAGGTCCCTGGGGTGCCCAGCAGTACCTTTGACGATAACAACTAAGTCCTTTAGGGTGAGCACCTGCATGCCAGGTTCTGTCCTGTACTTTACATGGAGCATGTGAATCCTTGTAATGACCCTGTGAACAAGGGGCCATTGTTACCCCCACTCTACTGATCAGCACACAGAGGCACAGAGAGGTTACCTAACTTGTCCAAGGTCACACAGCTAGCAAGCAGAAGAACTGAGACTGGAACTCAGATGGGCAGGTTCCAGTGACACTGGACATTGCTGTTCTGGTCACCTCCTCCCGGAGCTGTGTGTCAGGGAATGGTTGCCCCAAACTTACCCTCATGGTCGATTCTCATAGTCAGAACCACAAGGCTCCCTTATCATTGATTAGTTTTAATGTATTGTCTTGTTTCACATTTTAATACCTTCATTAAGAGATCATACTTTGAGTTTGCAGTTATGACATACACCGTGAGAAGCTTTGGCTTTGATATTTGCCTGTGTTCTCTTTTCCACTTACAGCCGCTTTGTACCCAGGTGAGGGACTCCGCTCTTGCCGCTGGAGACCCGGGGGCTAGAAAGCCAGGAAAGGTCAGCAGTGCGGAGCGTGGGAGGGTCTCGGGGTCCCTTGGGGGCGGGGAGGGCAGACAGTGCCTGAATGGATGAAGATGGCACTGCCAGAGCCCTGGTGGGAGGCACAGTTCGGCACTGCCCTGGTAGGGGACAGAGGACAGACACAGGTCAGCTGTCCTTGAAGAAGCTTCTTTCCACCTGCACTTTGTGCACTGCCCAGGCTGAGCTCCTCCTTGGTCCTCAGCACAGCCCAGGGCTCAGACGTGGAGCAGGACCAACCAGGAGGCAGGACGGCCTGGGACAGGACGCCTGCTCAGACCTCAGTGTCCCTCCCCTGCACACTCTCCACCCCAGGATGGCGTGTCACACACATGCCGGCACACCAGAGAGGGCAGTGGTCCCAGTGGGGACCTCAGGTGGGCCTGTCCTGGGCAGAGCACTGTCCCCCAGGGAAGGGCACTCAACAGGAAGTATTGCCCTTCCTGGCAGGAAACGACTCAAGGACCACAAGGGCAAAGGCCAGTGGCTTCCCCCTTTTCCTGCCCTTGTCCCTGGCCCAGGAGAAGGGGAGATGGGAAAGGTGGGGCACCAGCGTCTTCATTGCTCCATCCTGGTGGCTGCCACATGGCACTCAGGACTTTCCATCCGTCACCTCCTAAGCTTTCCCACTTCCCATGTGCAGCTTGTGCCTGGCTGGGTAGAACCAGAGACAAGGAGGGAGGGAGGCATGGGCTGTGGAGTCTCTGTCCGCAGGAGTCGACCATCCATCCATCCATCCATTCATTCACTGATTCCATACCCAGTCTCAAGCGTCAAGTCTGTACCAGAGCACATACAGGTCAAAGAGACGTGAACTAGGAATGGGGGGTGGGCACAGACACTGCAGGCAGCTTGCGGGTGGGCGGCAGGTGCCTGGCCAAACAGGATCCACAGGAAGTAAAAGCAATTCCAGCCGATGCAGAGGGCATGTTATCCAGTGAGAAGTGTTCCTCCATTTGGTTCCTTCAAAATCTCTGTGAGTTTTGTAGACAGTTATCTCCAAGCAACCGGTGGGGCCTAGAGGCGGGGCCGAGTGACAGGAGAGAAGGTGAACAAAGTCCCACACGAAGCCAAGCTAGAGGGAGACGCCGCACCCAGGGCTGTCAGGCTCTGGGACTCACGCGCTCTGCTATTCACAGCCGTGTGACTCCTTGGGAAGGTCAGGGAGGGCTGCTGGGTGAGGCTCTGCCTGAGCTTGTGGAGAGATGCAGCAGGCTAGATAGAAGGAGCAACATTGTTTCTGGCAGAAGCGACAACATTTGCAAGGTAGTAAGGGCTGGAACAGAAAAGCTGTCAGCGCTCACAATTCCGAGACGTGGGGAGATGCCAGCGAGAGGGGCTGTGCGTAGAAATAGGCTGTGCTTCCTCTTTCTGCTGTCCTCAGGACAGTGGCAGAGCCTCACAGCGGTCTGGGGGCTCCTGAAGGAGCGGGCCAGTCCGGTCACAGAGGTAGGGCTGGTGGGGGCCCGGGGTTGCCCAGAGTGAGGGGGCCCAGAGGCGAGAGCCTGGGGCACGGGGTGGGGGCAGCTTGCTCTGGGGATCTGGGGGGGTTAGGGGTGAGGGGCAAGGGCTGAGTCCCCCTAAGCACCGGAGGGGTGTCTGGCAACATTAAAGACCCCACCCTGGCTCACAGTCCCAAATTTAAGTGGGTTCAGCTGGTATGGCCAGACTGGAGTTAGTGGGATCCAAGATGTGGATTTGCCTAGAGATAGAGGAAGAGGGAAGGGCTGGCGGTGGGTGCGGGTGGAGGATAGAACAGGGTCACTCCTCCTCCTTCCCTGCCAGCAGCCACAGGGTCTGCAGTCGGCCGCACGGCGGTGGTCCCAGTGTGTGAGTGTGCAGCTGTGCATCGCTTGTATCTTTTGCAGGTTTCAGGGATTTTGAGGAAGGCAGACACAGCACCTGACTCTTCCAATAACATCACCAAGGACAGCAAGGAAATGAGAACCCAGCCTGGGCCTCCACCTGCCCTGGGGCGCAGGGAACGGGCAAGGGTAGCCTCAGGCCTGGGGGGAGGGCAGTGGGGTAGATGGCATCAGTGAGGTGTGGCCCAAAGGGGTCTGGGCGTCCTGAGACTCATGCAGTCGCCCCTTGTGGAAGGAGGACCCCCCAGCGTGTGGGAGCTCAGCACCAAACACAGGCTGTGAACCCCGGAGCAGGGGTTGTGGCACAGTTTGTAGCAACCCTGGGGCAGGTGAGGGACCAAGGTCTAGGAGGAGCCTAGGTCTCCCAGTGGCCTTTGTCCTGCCATGTGAAGAGAGGGACAAGGGCCCTTATGGTCCTATATCCAATTTCTCAGGTCCACGGGAGGAATGGTGGCTGCTGGGTGAACAAAGAGCTGGTGACCTAGGACACCAGCTGCCCCCACCCAGCCGCAACGGGAGACTTCAGGGCAATGAGGATGCCCAGCTGCCCATAGCCAGTGCCCACCCCACCACCCGCAGGTCCAGAGCCGACCAGGAGATGGCGCTGCTCCCACGCCTGCTCCTCATGGCCCTGCCCGCTCTGCGCAGGGGGCCCATTGCGCAAGGGTCAGAGGGTGAGTCTGAGGCTCCTTCCCTTCCTCATGCCCCGCCTCACCCCTGACCACGTCAGGGACACCCCCTCTGAACCCTGGAAGCTCCTGGACACCTCACAGCTCTCCTTCCTCCCTGTCTCGCGTCCCTCCTCCCTCTGGGCCGGTCACCTGGGCCCTCCTCCAGGCTCCCACACACCCGCTCACCCTTCTCTGGCCCCTGAGGGCTCCGCTGAAGCAGAGCCACGTCTCTGCCCCCCCCTCACTGTGTCATCGGAGGCCCCGAGCTCCCGGAGGTCCAGCCTCTTCTCTGCCCCGCTCCCGCCCAGCACCTCTGCTCCCTGGAGACCTCCGATCCCCGCTGCTGCCTTGGCCTGGGGCTCCCCCTACAGCAACCTGGCGTCCCCACTACTCCTGGGGTGCTCGCGGGGCTCCCAAAGCAGAAGGGACCCTTCCCAGTGCCCCCAGACCACGGCTTCTGTCACCACCTCAGGAAGAACAGTCCATTTTCCAAAACCCAGGCCAGGCAGGCAGAGGACAGAGGCGGCCCAAGGGTGGGCCTGGGGGGGGCACCGTGGAGTGTGGAGGTGCGGCTGTGTCTGACACACGTCCTCTCCTGAGGGCCCCTTCCCCAGGGCCAGCACACGGGGCCCAGTAATGCGCTGAGGATCGGCTAGAAGCTGTGTTTCTGTGGGGAGAAGGGTCCTTGGCCGGGACCCCCCCAGAGCCGCCCTGCCCAGGGCTCTGCGGGAACCCGGGTCTTTCCCCAGGGCTGGGCACTCTGCTAATGCGTGGGGGCGGTGACAGGGGCAGAGGGGAGGGTGACCCTCCTGCATCTCCCTGCAGATACTGTCCCGCTGCAGACCCTGCGCTGCTACAATGACTACACGAGCCGCATCGTGTGCAGCTGGGCAGAGACGGCGGCTGCTGGGCAGCTCGTCAAGGTGACCCTCCGTCGGCGGTTGTTAAAAGAGTGAGTGAGGGGGACCAGGGTCTGAGGGTGCTGTTCTGTGTCTAGGGTGCCTGGCTTAGGGCTGTGGGATCACAAGGGCATGGCAGGGCCAGCACTGGGTGGGATTGGACAGCATGGGACGGAGGGCCCAGGAGCTATAGCCAGGCTCTTGCTGGGGTCTGGAGCGCCTCCTGCCGACAGCAGTGAATCCCCGTCCCAGCTGCTCTCTGAAGCCTGAGCTCAGATCCCATGAGTCTTGCTGCCCAAGAACATCACTGCCATCAACATCCCCGCCCTCCCTGTGTCACCCGTGGTGCCTTCTCCCGGGACCACGCCCAGTCACCTTGCAGACACGCTGGACCCCCTTCTAGATGCCAATGCTGGCTGCAGCACCAGGATATCTCCCACTTCATGTCCCCATAGCACCCCTCTTCAGGCTCCTGCATGGCAGCTCCTGAGACTTCTCTGGGGACCCCAGAGATCTGCCCCCTTGGATCTGCTCTATGAGGCTTCACCCCAGGCTTCAGCCATGCCACCTTCAGTCAAGGTCACCAATGAGCTCCTCTCACCTAACTCAAAGGCCGATTCTCGGACATCTGGTGCTTGGTCCGTGGCTGTGATCCTACCCTTCTTGAAATGCCTTCTCCTCACAGCGCTGCTTGGCGGCCTCTTGCTTCACCAAGTGACTCCAGTGTTCGCCTTCGCACCTCTGCCCCTGCCCGGTGGGACACTCCAGGGCTCAGTCTCGGGCTCACAACACTGTCCCTCGCTGTCCACTCCTGTCCCCACCTTTGTCCTGTCGATACACACATCCCTATTCCAAGTTTCATTTGTCCTTGAGAGGTTTTCCCCTACTACACGACTCCAGTGGGTTAGCGGGTGCCCCCTCCAGCAGGATGCTGGCTCTGTGTTTGGGTGTCTGTGTATGTGTGGTTCGCTGCCAGTGCCCGCAAGGCCTGGCACCCAGTAGCCACTCATTAAGTAAATAGTTAATGAACAAATGATCCTTATTCACTCTGAGCCAAATCGTGAAACCGTGTCCTTTCTCCACAGGAACCTTCCCCAGCCAGTGTCCTCTGACTTCACTAACGACATGCCCTGATCACACTGCCCATCTCCTCCCTGTGTGCCTAGATGTGTCATTCCCTAGGGGGTGTTCGGTGGGGAGGACAGCATGTTCTCGTTCCAGCCAGACCGGCCTCTGAACATCCAGGTCACTGTGCCACTGGCCCACCACGGTAAGAGCTGGCATCCATGCCAGGGCTCGGCTCCTGACTAGGCAGAGGGCACCAGGGACAGTGGGGGTAAAGCAGAAGAACCAGGCAGGGAGTGTCCGAGGAGTGGAGACTCTGTCCTGGGACCGCGTGGGGACAGGAAGCGGCGCCCTGTGATGCCGGCACTTGAGCAGGTGCGAGGAGCGGGCCACACCCAAGCTGCCTCCCCTGCCCAGCTGCTGCCACCTCCGCCCAGCCTCTGAGTCCCAGCCCTGACAGCTTCCCGCCAAGGGAACCACGCCCAGGACTCTCCTGGAAACTGACCAGCCATGGGACGCACGCCTGCCGCAGCGCCTCTGTGGGTGAGGCCCGTGAGGCCCAGAGCGGTTCCGGAGCCCGGCCTCTGGGCCAGGTCCACTCCCCACAGGCTTCCTGCCCTGCACACACTCAGCTGTCTCCTCGCTGCCCCCCTGGGCCCAGGGTGCACGGCGGGCCCATGGGGGCCAAGACTCCAGCAGGGTCTCGGCTGGGTGCACACGGCCATTTGTACGGCGAGGTCTGCCTGAGTTTCCGCTAGAAGGAAAGCAGCGGCCCTGCACTCGCATGGGCTCCAAGCGGTGCTGCTCCTGGGAGGCCGGGTGGAAAGGGGAGTCCTCTGAGAAAGGTCTGGGGTGACGGGCCAAGCCCTGTGTGTGGCGGGTGTTGGGGAGGCTGTGACTCTTGTCCTCTTCCCCATGCAGCACCAGAGAGGTGCCACTGTCCCTGCCTTTTGGCTTCACCCAGGCCTTTTGCCCAAGGCCTGGCAGGCGCTGCTGGCCGCGCTCAGGTTGGGCCCAGGCAGGTCGGCTCCCGCCTCGGACCCTGCCCTGGCCCTGCTGCTCCTGGCACAAGTCTGGGAGGCTCTGCTCTGCTTCCTGCCTGGGTCACAGGCTCGGGAAGCCGCGGCCTGGAGAGGGCAGCTCTGAGACCATGTTTCCAAACCTGCTCTCCTGGGTGAGAGGGTCCCTCCCTGGGGGCGCTCAGAGCTGCAGCCTGGAGACCGGGAAACGCCGGACACTGTCCCGAGTGCTGCGTGCAGGGGCAGAGGGCGGAGGGACTGGGGGATCAGGACAGGCTTCCCAGAAGGAAGGAAGCGGCTTTGCCACTGAGATGTGAGGGCAGTGGAGGGGCATGGAGCGGGAGGTGCCTTCCTGGCAGGGTAACCTTGTGTGCAAAGGCCAGGAGGCTCGGGAGGAGTGGCAGGCTGGGAAGTCTCTGTCACTGTGTCCCGGAGCATCAAGTTCTTATGCTGGGGGCTGGGGATTTAGCTCAGCGGCACAGCACCTGCCTGGCAAGCTCAAGGTCGTGAGTTCAATTCCTGGTACCGGAAGAAAAACAAAAAAACAAAACACAATAAAACAAAACAAAACAAAACAAAAAGTTCTTATGCTGGACAACAGAAGGAAAAAATGGAGGACACAGGCAGGACCTGAAGCTGGACAGGAGGCCCCTTCATCCCAGCGCCAGTAGAGGGCCAAAGAGAAGTGGTTTAGGCTGTGTGTCAAGCTAGTTTTGGCTGTGTCTCCTCCCACTGCCACTGTAACATGAAGGCCACTGTAGCAACACACATTTGCCAGTTCGGCCGTGTGCTATCAGACCTCATTCATGGACACAAATTGGATTTAATTTTTATGTATGGCAAAGGCTGACTCTTTTTTTGTTTGTTTGTGGTACGGAACCCAGGGCCTTTGCATTGAGCTGCAGCTCCAACCTTTTTTCATTTTTTATTTTGAGACAGAGTCCCACTATGTCACTAAGTGGCCTAGGCTAGGTTTGAATTTATGATCCTTCTGCCTCAGTCTCCCAAAGTGCTGGAATTCTGGGTGTGCACCACCACCCAGGCAAGATTCTGGTTAACAGTTGTAAAAAACTGTGTAAGAGGGTAAAAGTTATTCTTAGCTCCCTGGCCTTTACAACAACTGTGGGCCAGATGTGTCCCTTGGGCCAATGTGGCAGCTTGTGACCTAGAGGATTGTGGCGGGTATCACATGTTCGGATGGCTGAGGAAGTGAGGCCAGACGAGGGCGGGGAGAACCAAAGGGTGGGGACCAGGGTGAGAGGAGAGCAGGGCTGCTGTGGGAGCCCAGCAAGCAGCAGGGATTCATGCAGAGGAGAACACTGGAGGGGACCTGAGGTGGCCAGGCAGGTGACAGGAAAGAGATGCTTAAATCCTGGCTGCAGGGCAGAATCTGTTCCCACACTGGGCACATGCAGAGTCCAAGAGAGCATGGGGAGAGCAGTGGGCCCCAGTCAGGTGGCCAGGGAGAAGGCAGGACAATGTAGGGACAGGGAATGTGGCATTTTGTCTCTGGAAGCTTTTGCTGAAGCTGGAAGTCACTGGGACCTTGGCGATCGGTGAAGGAGGACAAAGATGGGCATCTGATCTATCTGAGGCCTGTACAGCCCAGATCTTGGACATTTCCTTCCTCCAGCACTTTCTCCATCTGTGAAATGAGCCCGTGCAATAAAATGGCTGAAGCTGGATGAAAAGGGGGGAACTGGCCCCCAGGCGGCCCAGGTCCCAGCAGCTTCCTGGAGCTCTGTGCTGAGACAGATGCCCACTCCGTGTCAGCCTCAGGCTTGGGGTGCTGTGATCGAATACTGATGCCTGTCCTGGCTGGGTGGGCAGGAGTGGTGGCTTGCTATGCACCTCGCTCCTGTGGACCTGTTCTAACCTACAACGTCTCATGACCGGCATAGAACCGTCACCTCCTACTATGTGAATGTTTTGGATGTGAAAATCATGCCCGGAAATAGGACAGAGAAAGTACCAGAGCCCAAAGCCATGGCTTTCAGGAATTTGGCTTCTTCGTGAGCTCAGGAGATTCCAGGCAGGCCTCTCTGCATTGAGAGGTGGACAGTGTGATTCCTGAGAGCCCAAAGACTGCAACTGTATTCATTCACCCATCCATCCATCCATCCATCCACCCATCCATCCACCCATCCATCCATCCATCCATCCA